ACGTGACCCAAGCCCAAGTGGCAGACATGTGGACCTGTCTCTTATACACATCTAGATGTGTATAAGAGACAGGAGAGAGAGAGAGAGAAACAAAGAGAAACAAAGAGGCGACCACAGAGAGAAAAATGAGAGAGAGTAGGACAAGGAACAGAGAAAGATACAAACACACAAATCAAGACTTGGTCCCTCCATATCTGTACGTAGGGAAAAAGAAACAAAATCTCAGCATCTCTGCATTCTACCTTCCTCTCTCCGGCTCAAATTTTAATTTCCAACGCTGGCTCTTTTCCCGGACACAAAGAGTCAAATCAAGTCTCTTCGTCTTTGTAGACAACGAGACACAACTCCCGATTCTGACTCGATGTACTGTATGTTGATGTCTGTTCTGTGCTCCACACATCTCATCTTCATTGTTTCATAACTGTCTAATCCTCATCGTTTTTATTGCAAGATACAACCTTCCTTTTTCCACATGAAATTGCAAGGAAAATGAGCAAAATGACAGAATTCCAGATTGCAAATCACATCGAAAGCCAGATAGTCAAACGTTGTCCACCAAGCAGAGTTGCATGATACTACACCGAAGGAGAACCAAAGCATCGAACTCAATTGTCAATGAAAGCATCCCCGCCACCAACATTGCAATCGTCGCTCTTCTTCCTACTGGCGCTCAGCGCCCAGACTACTATCATACAGCTACTCTACTAGTATCAAAATGACAAGCAACTTGTTGATGTCAGCAGCAGCAACCAAAGTACATGCAGATGTCGACCATGCAGCCCATCGCCAAGACCAGGTACGTGCCCTCACGTCATCATCCCCATCTCTCTCTCACCGCTCACCCTAGTCGTCTTCACCCACGTCTTCTTCCTCTACCGCGAAGACCACCACCACCACCACCTCCGTTGGGTTCTTCCTCTACCAAGAAGACAATGGGCCACATAGGCAAAAGGAAAAAAAGAAAAAAGAGAACACTCCAAGGTCAAAAACAAAAAGGAACATGTGTGGGGCACATAGTACCGCATAGTATCCCGTGGTACCACATACCAGCACATGGTACCGCATAGCACAATGTCTTACCACACACACTCCACCCGCATAGCACCTAACAGTACCATACAGTACCGCATGTTGAGACATCCTAACGTATAATTCACATCAGTGCAAGATAGTACCACACTGAGCCAGAATAGTATCCCGTGGTACCACATACCAGCACATGGTACCACATAGCACAATGTCTAAACACACACACTCCACCAGCATAGCACCTGACAGTACCATACAGTACCGCATATTGAGACATCCTAACGTATAGTCCACATCAGTGCAAGATAGTACAACGGTATTCCTCACCTTACACAAAGTGTTACATGCCCGCCTGACCTGCATAACCGCACACCCGACCCGGACAGTGACAAACACAAACCATTGGGCGCAGCCCGTTCACATTGCAATGCTTGGAGTTGCATTGAATCACTGGCCTGTTCGGCCACAGTCATTGGGTGTGACGCGCCTCAACTCGTTCAGGTAACAACACAGTCTGGAGTCGACTATCCGCCACTACTACACTGCTATAAGTTTTGAAACTCAGAGATTCGACTGTCGTCCACAGTGAGCTAGCCCCTGATGCCATTCAACACTTTCAGGCAAAAAGAAATAGTAAGGCAGACAACTACCTACATCACATGTTAAGGCCAAAGGAGGCATTATTGGTCAAAGAGCGTCCAAGACAGAATACAAAGGTAAGCGGATGCGGGTGTCCTGGGCCATGAAAGTTCCACTCCAGTCAAGAGCAAGCACAAACATTAGCTTGCCTCATCAAGGACAACCCAGTATGGGATCCTGTTAAGGTCGGTCACAACAACATTGTTTGGAAAAAAAAGACTTCTTGAATCTTCAGGATGATTCCTCAGTGGGTTTGTCTGAAGCCCGTGCCACCAAGGGAATGCAAAAGCTTTCTTGCGAGCAAGCACTACCAAGGACTTCTTTCACATCTTCCAAGCAATCTTCCATTTCAGTGATTTCACAAGAAACTGGGAAGCCCACTTGTTTTTGCAGGCTGTCAAGATTCCTACAAAAATCGGCAAAGTTCTGCTCAAACATGTTGATCAGCCGCCGTTTGGCCTCAATGGCACTGTTGAGCTCAGCGGTAACATGAGGCAATTCTTGCTTGAACTCTTTCAGTCTGATTGTGAGCTTCCATGGATTCTTCTGTTCATCGGGAAAAGACTCCTGCAAGACATGATCATGGATCTGTGACGAAATTGTCACATTGAATCTGCTCTTTTCAAGATCATTGGCCAAGCTCTCCATTTGTCTTCAAAATGCAGCAAAGCCTTCCCAGCAAACATGCCTTATTTCACAGCTCCCCTCGCGCTGAGACAACAGTCCTCCCCTAGTCCGAACGAACTCCTACTCCCTGTTGTACAGACTCCACTCACAACAAATAGACTTCCTGCACTGTGCCAAGCAGACCTCCTTTACAATCTCCAAGAACAAAAACGACAACTCTTCCATTCATAAAGAAAGAAACTAACTTATGTCAGGGTCTGGAAAAAGTCTGTGGGCACTCTCCCCTGAAGAACCCCTCACCCCACCACTCTCTTCAGCAAGGTTGCTTCCGCTTCTCGCAGCAATACTGCTCCAGTTAGCGACAAATGATGGATCCCCTTCTATGCTCATGCCAAAAATGCCTGTTTCTTGCAATGACTGCTTCCAAACTTCTTGCACTCCTCACAACAGAACTTTTGCAAACAGCAATGGATGGATCCCCTTCTATGCCAGAAGGGGCTTGTTCAACACAACAGGACTCACTCATTCCCTCCCTCCACTCATCACAGCTCCTCAGGCTCAGGGTTCCCTTAGACATCAAACACCATAACCCCTCGCGGCTCTGTTTGCACAGCACCGCTAGCAACCAGCCAACAGCTAACCCAATGTCTGCTTGACCATCATCTTCCACAACAAAGTGCTGCAACCGCTGAAAAACCATGCCCCCTTGTGGCCCTGTTGGCACAGCACCACTCGCAACCAGCCAACTGCTAACTCAATGTCTGCTCGACCCTCATCTGCCACAACAAAGTGCCGCAACCGCTGCACTAAAGAGGAAGTAATAATATACACAAGGCAGGCAAACCTGTGGAGGTGGGTGGGTCAGACAAACGTTGGGAACCGTGCAACTTTTTTGGTGTCTTAAAGACAACAAGCAACTGAGACATTACTGTGGACCGCACGCACACACAACTCCGGGAAACCAAATAAGGCCCACCCACATAATCACAAACTACCTGGAAAGCCTAATCACAAAAGGAGAAACAGAAAATTACCAGTATTTCTTTCTGCTATAACTCAGCGAATGCTGTTAATCTTGGGAAAACAACGCAAACGTCCTGTATTTCTTTGGCGAGGCATTACCAGCAGAAATCCTATCACACCCGATCAGCAGAGGCAAAAGCAAGAACCCCCATTCCGTAGCGAAAAGTGAGTTGGACTAAAATGTAAATTGTGCAAATTCGTGTGTTTTTCTAATCTTGTCCTTGTTGTTTCAAGGATTATCATGTTGTCCTTGACCTCAGCGATTTTCCAGTGATTTTCGCAATCGGGCTTCACAATCAATGTTTCTAATCGTAGGGATTCACCGGTCACCCGGTTAGCCTGACACCAGTTCTTCCCGGTACTTCTGTACCCTGCCTGCAACATGGACAGATACGGGAAGAACGAGTGTGTGGGTCTGTGTGTGTGTGTGTGAGAGAGAGAGAGAGGGAGGGGGGGGGCGGGGGAGGCGCATAAGACGGCATTTGGCAGTCGTTAATGACCGGACGCACCCCCTGTAGCAAGAGAGTGTGACTGAAAGGGGAGAATACCAAGAAAACGATACGCACCCCCTGTAGCAAGAGTGATATTACTCCCAGTGGGATAGTACTCTTCGGGCCATTGTCTTCTTTCTGTGGGAGCACGCCCATCCTTCCTCCAAGTCTCGGCCTAGACGATTCTAAACAAGGGAAAAAAATGATGACGTGATAGAGTACTACCCCTTTGAGCGCTTCTTCTTTATCATGCGCCGTTATTTTTTTCTTTTTTCTTCGTGTGCTTCTATGCTGTCCTCTCCTCACGTCTGGAGCTACTCCAGTCACTCGCTTGTTTTCCCTTCTTTCTTTTTCTGAAGAAATGAAGGCAACTTCTGTTGTGGGACGCAGCAGTCCGGTTCCTCTTCCACCGACGTGCAATTTGAATACAACTCGCACCCACGCCTCCCCACATCACGGCCCGGGGAACCCTGACATCGGTGATTTCTTTCCTCGGGAAAGATTGACTGCCAGTTGAGCCCACTCATATCTCTTTTGTTATTTTTGGTTTTTGAAAAAAAAATCAATCTCCATTCTCCTGGGGGGGATGTTGTCACACCGGTTGCATCGCTCCTTTTTCATGTTTCGCGCGCCCCAGCATTGTTGACGGCAACACCAAATGGTCATCAGCTCTGCGCGTCCTAATCAAATGTGCAATTGATGATTACATCTAAATGATTTTAACCAAGTCACGATGTTCATCAATTACGCTCAGTTGAGCCTTCCTCCACCATCAAGATGGTGAATGGAATGATTAAAATCGGTCGAAAACGAGGGGGGTCATCGGTTTCATCGGTTGGTTTTTCCACTCCTCTTTCTTCATGCTGACGTCCATCATCGAGTAATCCATCCACATGCTACACACATCAGCAGATTTTGATGGGCTTGGGGTTTCCTCTTTCTTTTCTCTTTTCACCAAATTTGTCGGCATCATTCCTCCGATGTTCGTGCAGCAGTCCGTTTGACTTCTCTGTTTCCTGCTGGTCGACTGGAGCTTTCAAAAGTTGTTGACATGATATAGATGGTTGTTGTAATTATTATTAGTTAATTAATTGGAACTGTGGGGGCGTAGCCGCACCACAGGCAGCATCTTGATGACGAGCTACACTTACGAACAAGGGCAGATTTTTGTGCTGTCCATTGAGGTCGATGACCGGTGGTGGAGAGTTGAATATGTCGTCCTCGGCACTATCACAAGTGCATGTTCTCAAATTTCTCAGGTCTTTGCAGCTCTATCGTGTTTTTTTTACTGTGCAAATGCACTGCAGCCCATCATCACTCACACCGTTTTGATACATCCTGTTTGATGCATCTGTTAAACACTAGAAACGATCTCACTTTGGCTTGTGCCCAGCTACTCTCAGCCTTCATTGGTTTAGTGCAGTTTGCCAGTCAGGCAATAATGGCAGACAGTCTCAGCAGTGATAGTTAGCTTTTCAACACGCCACCATTTCCCACGTGTGGGATCCAGTTTTAGTTTGAGCTGC